GGGGGAGTACAAATATTCCTAGTCGCTTCATGCTACAGAAACCGGGATAAGCTCCGGCCTGATGGGCCACTTGGCTCGCATGCAGACTTTACCTACCACTGATGGTGCAATAATACAGTTTGTGTTGATCAAGTAATGTGATGTCTACAGTGAGAAAAGAATCATCAATGACTGCTTTGGAATGTGCACTGCGTTCCGACGGTAGTGCTAAGCGAACCGTTTCATTTTTAAAGCGCGGTTATAAGATCTAACAGATCTTCTTGTTATTTAAAAAGACTCTTCTATAGACCACAACATGTAATGTCCTTCCCCAACAATAATGTGACACAAAATAGGTTGGAGGGCCAAAATTAAAAGAAGTTGCGAAAACGCCACAAATTTTACGAGCCGTAGGCGTCATGTGGGCCTGCCTATGATTGTCATCAGGTGACATTTCCGGCCACCTGAAGCGCCGCAAGAATTAAATTATTAATTTACGTCACAGACATGCTTTGCCGCTCACGCGTCCAGCCGTCTCTTCTCGGTGAGGAACGTAGACCGGACTCGAGAAAGTGGCGGAAATCGAGCCTACGAGCCGATCCATTGTCTTGGACCGAAATTTCCGGAAAGTTTGGTTAAACGGATTGCCCCTCGCATGTACACTTTCTGCGGTCCATATTGCCGCCGCCGAATATTTCATTAACAATATCTGGTATTGCATGTTGCGTGCTGTGTTTGCTTCGAATACCATATTGGAGGTTATATTATTTATGTAGTATATTATTTTTGTCAATAAATTAAATAAGTTGGTTATATATAAGCTTTGAAATCTTAGATTGTAAATGGATGACAGTGAAATGGGTCGATAATTTTTAGGAAAAAGTATCACCATTATTTTTAAAAACTGGAATAATCTTAGCGAGCTTGAATTTTGCTGGGTAGATCCCAGAAAGAAGATTGGTCAAAAATTTCAGAAAGGGGTATTGATGTAATTGAATTTTCAAGTTTTAGCAGGTTTACAGGGCTGGAATTAAGTCCCTAGACTTTATTACTTGGTTGAGTTATAATTTCAGATTCTACTTCTCGCGGAATTATGGCGTCAGGATAAAAGGTAGTAGTGATTGGTGGATCCAAGTAATTAGAGAAAGTACCTTGAGCTTCAGGAATATTACTTGCTAGTTTATCACCAATCGTTGCAAAATATTTATTCAGCGTGTTTCAATCGTCCTTGGGTCATTAGTCAGAGTTGAGCTTTTGTTTGGGCGAATGAAATGAATCTTGTATAGCACTTGTTTTGCATAGCATTTATTAAGTGCTCACCAAGTATTCTGTGTTTTATGTGTGTGTACCGACCTAAATTTGTATTAATACATCTGTAGCCCTGGCTGCCAGCCCTTTTTAACTCTCTAGTCATATGCAACTTTGCAAAAAATATATTTTTCTTAGTCCAAGGGGAAATAAAGCTTGTTGTTGTTGTTATTTGCCTTTCTTTTTCAAGCCCCCCAATTATTCGTTAATTCCTTTCCAAGTCTGGCGTATGTTCGCTATATTAGAATTAAAGAAGTGTTGGTAATAATCTTGTTTACTCAAACGAATGAGAGCAGTTAATTATTTCTATACATTTTATAACTATGCCAGTTCGAATTGAAGAATAGATTTTTGTTGGCCAAGGTTTGACTTGGATAGCTGTTTATTTACTTTCTTTAGAGAAAAACAGTCCTGTTCCTTTTATATATCTTAAATTTGGCTTCCATAAATTACTGATTCGTACAGTTAAATATAGTTGAAACCCATTTGAAATATTCTGTACCTTCTGGTCACCCAACCCATCACGTCACAACAACAGGTTTATTATAAATTGTAGTTCGTTACAGCTTCCACTAACATGCCAATTTAAGTTTCTCTGTGACTGAACGTTTTGAAGATATCATAACTTGGACCACTATGAGTATCAAGCATAGTACTTTTAATATCTTGTAATATCACACCCAGGCTTAATGATCACTTGATGGCAAAATGCTACAAGGCTTGGCATGAAACGTTCCAGCTAAAATAACCGCATTGAACCAAAATGATAATAACAGCCATTACGATTGTACATTTCACAACATATGTCACTCGTATGTTATTTGCTGACTGTTCCACAGCTTTCAAGGGTAGAAAAAATCAAAGGGAAAGTTTGGCCTTCGATGAACACTGAAGTGTATCAAGAGTTTGTTTCGTCAGGAATTTTACGTGAAGTTAAAATTATAAAACAGACACGGAGCTAAACGCAGCTTAACACTTAGGGGCTCTAGGCCAGTCATCGATCAACATACATATAAATGACCGCAGGCAGGAAGTGAGAAAAAATTTCAAATTTGCCAGCCATGTCCACGAATGTGACCATCAGTTGGATGAAGGCTTAACTGATAGCCAAAACATCTTGCTCTTCAAAAACGAGTCCCTTGCAAACAGCCTGTCAACAACCAAATGACTGTTTATCATCGATTTTGATTGATGCCTGGTCTAGCTATTAAGTTTCTTGTACCTTACATCATGCCACCATTGGGATAGTTATTTTGTAGAACGCCGAATGCACTGTTTGCTTGCGGTCAGTTTCATCACTTTTGTTGGAAAGGACAGCATTATATAGTATTTCGCCCTTTCAAACAAATAAAAGCTAATAAAAGCTCACCGCAAGAAACATGAGTGAAACTAACTGCAGGCAAACAGCCCATTTGGTGCTCTTACGTGTTTCCCCCAGTGCTCATATCGTGAGCCCGGGCTGCCTGTGTTTACATTCTGAACACTCCGAATTTAGGATCCCCTATTGGCGCATTCAAGGCTGAACTTAAACTGAGTCCAAGGATTGTTCGGGTGTCCACTGGGTCGATAACACCGTCGTCCCATAATCTTCAACGACAACAACAAAAAGAATGAGCAGTATTTAACATGTAAAGTTAATATTGAGGACAGCCGGTCTTATTCAATAACAAGCTGGTGAACGTGGAAACAACTAAGTCAGGAAGCGCGGTGAAACATAGAGCGAACCTAGAATACCTTTTACACTACACATATGGTGTACATTGGCACTGTCATTTTGTGACGTGCATCACTCTTTGAAAAAATGAGAAGCTGTTTTAAACCTGAACAAGCTTATTTTATCTTATGCATCAGTTACATACGAACCTATTCAGCCTGACTTGTAAAAATGTAGGTTGTTATATGAAGGATTTTACTTTTCTACTATTCCATTTTGTTTGAAAATTTTGCCTGAAATATATTAAGTTGCCTGCGTGTCAAAATATTCAATGCCTGTATTTCGCAATGGAAAAGCCGTAAAGAAAGTACAATATATGCTCAGGTGCGTTTCAAGAAAGCAAATGAAACTTTCAAATTGTATAAGTACCTTGCTGATGAAAAATAAGGATGACCTTCCTCTTCAAATCTCCTGATAATGGGAGCTTTAATTTGATTCTCTTCTTCTGCAGTCAACTGTAGGATGAGAAGTACATGTAATAAATGAACGGTTTTGTTTGCAATTTCCATCAAGAGTGATATAAGATTCTCTCTCAAATCTGTTTGCGATGACAAAATAAGGCAACAGTGTGGATGACTGATTAAATGTAAAATAGTAATGTAAATGTAAATATTATCTTTGTCTCTCTGTTGTTTCTTATTACTTTATCTATCAAGTATTTATCCTGATTATAACCAATCTGCCTAAATAAGCCGAGTGCTAGCTGCGGATCAGTCCCCAATTGTATTAATTGAAAAACTTGAAAGTGTGTGTGAAGAGCGTGTCTAGCATATAACCGACTGCAAATCATATCACAGAGGATAATGTATAATACTGTTGAACTTGGAGGGGGAACATGTGGCCATATCTCCCACACGTGTTTTTTGACACAACAAAACTTTACAAACCCCTGCCCCGGTTCGCAGTTTTTCTTGGGCGTCCGAAGTCGCCCGATCTCCGGACGGAAATGAAATGTCGCGGGTAAATACCTCAAGCGTTTTAGCGAGATTCCACTTTTAAAATTGAGAGCTGGGGAAGGATTTTGTAAAGATTTGTTGTGTCAAAAAACACGTGTGGGAGATGGAGGGGAGCTTGAGCGCGCGCTCGATGACGTCATTGGCACCGGTTCAACGGTACGATCATGTTGCGAAAAGCGATTTGAAAAAAAACTTTGCTAAAGACGCTAAAATTCTCTGACTGTCGTGAAAATATTCGAAAACAAATTCGGCCAAGTTGTAGAAAAATCTTTCGACTTCGTTTTGTGTTTGTTTGGTTTCGTGGAGGCAACGAAATTTAGAGATTCGAGCGAATATTCGGATTGTGTTCAAAACGTTTGGGCAAAGAGTTGCTTCTTTTGTCAATGTTATATGTAAAGCAAAAAATTTCTTTGTAGAGCGCGAAAAGGCCTAGGTACGAGTTTAGCGCTACAGTTTACACATTTAAAATCTTTTCTGCGAAAAGAAAATACGCAGGACTTGTAAGGGCCTGTCCAAGCGGGATATGTTTGGCGACCAAACACCATCAAACACTGTTTGGTGACCAAACATTTTACCGTTTGGCCACCTTGTTTGGTGCTGTTTGATCGTGTTTGGTCGCGTTTGAAAAAATTGAAGGCCATCAAACAGTCGACCAAACAACTGAAAACATTTCTTTTGTTCTCGTGCTTGATGGCCGATGTTTTGTTCGTTTGGACAGCCGTATCAAACATGTTCGGCGCGCGCGTGCGTCCCACCCTTGCTCAGCGGCTTGTATCCATAGTTTGATTTGTGTTTGATCAAACATGTTTTAACCGTTTGGCCACTCAGTTCAACATCAGCATGTTTCGTCACCGAACAATGTTTGATGATGTTTGGTCACCAAACATTTATCGTTTGGACAGGCCTTAAGTAACGGTTTTCTCTCTAAGGTCGCGTAAGAGATGACAACAGGAGACAAAGGTAAACTATTAATTCTTTTCGTTCCTTTATTCACTCTTTCTCTACTCAGCAAGATTGTGTGCTCCCTGTGGTTCCTCTTCGAATTTTCATCATATATTAAACTTTATTCCATTTATCTCCAGCAGTGAGTAAAAAAAATGCACATCTATTCTTATATTTTCGAGGTAACAAGGGTATGATGTTGCACACCTTGGCGAGGAAAACAAAAGTATCAAGTTACAAACGTTGGCGTGAGAAGTAAAATTGTCACATTTTCTACTTCTACGTATTATTGAATTTAAAATGAACGAAACTCAAAGTAAAACACTACAATAAATTCAAAACCGTCCTGACAAACCGTAATGGTAAGGTATTTTTGGGCCTTGAAAGAAAATACAAACATGAAACATACACACTGCTAAGATTATAATTTAATCACGTTTTTGTCTGCTCATATTCTGCAAAGGGGAAAAGGCCTAGTTAACTAGCAAATGTACTAAAATAACAAGTTTTGCTAGATTCCGACAAAACGGTTATCACGTTGCGAAATAAACAAATTCTCAACCCAACGAATACTTCGATAAAAGACATTTTACTTGTTAGGAAGGCAGAAATTATACTTCAGAAGTAAAACAACGACAGAAAATACCAATTGAGCTGTCTCTGTTGCTGTATTTTTGTAAAGATGCTCAAACAACACTTACATGGAGTGTAGGTCATCTCAGCGAAGTGAAACTCAATATTCCGACTCTCTTGTACTTGGTGTAGGACCAATGGGAGCAGTTCAGTCTTTCTAACTTTGACGCTAGTTCGCGCAATCTTGCTGCAAGCCGTAAATAACTGTAGCTCCTTTCAAATACAGCTCAGCATTTCGCATTTTCATCAGCAAGTTTTGAGCCCTTTGTTTCGCAATTTCCATTGGAAAAGCGCACGTTTTCATGAGTCACGCAATGCGGCCGGATTCCTGTGGACTAGAAACTTTTAGACTCATATTTTTAAATCAAACTAAAAAGCGAACTTCGAAGCGATCGTTCTACTCTTGAAAGCCACTCGACACTGAAAGCTTAGCTGAAGTCCAGTTTGTCAGTGACGGCTGTCGTCTCGTTAGTCAAATTATTTTAGAAATTCTAACAAGGATTGTGATTGGCTCATTTTATAGTGCTTTATCAGAGAAGAGATGCACGCTGACGCCACTTTTCCTCATTTGGAAAATAAAGTTTGGTTTGAAAATATTAGCTGAATGTGCGGGGAAATTAATGGATTCTTTATCATGAACAAATAAAGAAGCCTCGACTGTACTCTGTTCTGTTGTAAAGCACTTAGGAAGCGGTAGAGCACTCAAGAAGTAGGGAAAAACACTCGACTACGTCTCGCGTTTACCCCTACACTTCTTTCGCGCACTACTGCTTCCTGCGTACTTTACAACAGAACAGAGTACAATCGAGGCTTCTTTATTTTTAAGTATTGATAGTCAGAATACTGTATACAAGTGAGAACTCACGCGAAAACTTGAAAACAAAAAATAACTAGGGTTTCCCTATTAATTAACTTCAAGTCTACATGGTACATAATGATTTACTTAACCCAACCTCTTTGCCTTCTCTGCTCCTCTGGTCTCTAGTAATAGTCGCTAGTACTGTACCAGCCTGTTCTCCTCCCATCACTGAAATGCGAGCATTTGGCCACATGTACAGAAAACGAGGGCTAAACCCAACAAACAGGTAACACAGCAACATTAATATATTTGCTAAACACGACCCGTCTATACACAGAGACAACTTGACTAATTTTGAGTGTATTGGACATGGGTGAACTTGTGAATTGATCAGACTAAATAAGTGTGACAGGAGTTTCCCTTTATTTCTATACTTTAAGGAAGGTTTTAAAAAAGTAATCAAGCGTTTGGGTAAAAATGCATGAGATCTGAAACAAACGTTTTCATGCTTTTTTTTTTTTTTAAAGATAAGATTTAAGTTCGGGTTCTCGAAGAAACAGCTGGCAATAAATGTCAATGAAAAAGTTAATTTTATGAACTTCAAATCTAGACTGCGAGCAGTCTCTTTTTTCCTCGAAAATACGCAAAACTAGTGAGCGTGAGAGCGTGTCTACGAGCGTGACATGCGAGTGGCGCGGGCGTCACGACTGCTCACTTGTGTTGCGTTCTTCTTTGCGCCCTTATCCACGGAGTTTTTAAATCCAAAAGTTAAAATACACTAACTCAACAATTTCGTGTTGGCGTTTGGATCTTCCCATGAATCTTGTTTTTGCTGCTTTTCTTCTTCATTCATTCGCTCCGGTTCTACATTTACAAGCCTTTTCAATTATTACTTTTTTATATCACTCACTCATCCTCATCAGGCCAATGAGGACTCAAACTTGAGTTAATTGAGACATTTTGTGGCTTTTTGTAATTTCTGGAATGGGATTCCTATTATTCCCTCTTTTTTTCACAGTGGACAGCTTATGAAATGCACTGTTTTTAGCCATTTTCACCAACAGAACTTTTCATTATCAGCGAAACTTTAAACTAAGTGACACATGCCGCACTCTCTCTCCATATACGGTCAAACACAGGTATAATGGCTGGTAACCGAGAGTCAGTGATCCAATCAGATAACTAGAAATGCATTATCCGAGGATTAGAATTCAACAGTTTAAAATATTCTCATAACCTCTAAAAATACCCATGCACGTTTAAATTAGAGATAGCGCTTGACGCATGCACATTGCTGTGGAAAATGTTTAATTGTTGTGTTCCTCTTGAATGTTAGATTATAGGAATCAGTGGGACAATGAAGTGAGATTTCTCCCAAATAATCCGGAACCCTGTTTACGGCAACACATGTAATCTGTTCAGTAATGCAAAGTGTTCTAAATGGAAGGAATAATCCTGTTTCTTAAATCAAAGACAGCACTAATGTTTTCAGTTACTCTTACCCATATGCACGACCACACATGCCATAATTTCCAGCTCCAAAACTTCCACCAATAATAACAGTAATCTTAGGAACTTGAGCACAGGACACAGCTGTAACCATTTTGGAACCATTTTTGGCAATACCACCAGCTTCATAGTCCTTGCCTACCATAAAACCTGCAAAAAAGGAATTAATCACTATAAAGTATTTTACATTAAAACAGAACAGATAATTATGACATTACCGAAGCAGGCTTCCCAAAGAATTACTAGTACTGTTACTGTTCATTGCTCATCAGGAGAAGTTAACAAGCCTAAAGACACACCTGTAGGTCATAGCATGAAATAGGTTTGAGCTAGAAATAACGGGGAATTCGAAATAACGGAGTTTGAATTAGCGGGGTCCAACTTTATGAGCAAGATAAAACTGGATCAATAGGATATACAGGATAGCGGAGCTCCGGCGACCCAAAGGGCCGCGAAGCGGAGCCCCATACCCAGAAGGAAGGAAGAAAAGAGAGGTAGAAGAAAAGGAAACCCATGAATTGATTTCCTCATGGTTATCATGGCTAGTGGCATGGCTAGTAGCATGGCTAGTGGCATGGCTAGTGGCATTACTCGTGGGCGCGTACCCACGACGACGGTAGCGACGACGGAGTCGGGCAAGATGACGGCCATAGTCCAGCTAATAGGTTGACAGAGACATGCAGCCTTGGTCAATTGACACCTGTCAAATAAAGGTATCAGCTAACCAGTATCACGTGACCATATCGCGGGCTCAAGTTTAAAGCTTATTGAGGTCACGTGTTATTTTCGATTGGATCGCGGGCGCAAACCAGGTTAACTTCTTGTAACCAGGGCCGGGTTGTTCGGAAACCTGTTAACGCTAACCCTGGATTAAAACTTAACCAAATTATAAATATTTCTTGCATACAAATGTTTTCACTGCTTTTGTTTTGTGTAGTTTGAGATTATTCAAACTCGAAACAGGAGGCCAAACAATTAACAGAAAACCTCAGCGCAAAGTTACAAAACTCAAATCAAAATTTCACTTAACCTGGGTTAGCTTCTTTTCTCTCCTTTTTTTATGTAAACATCACACCCACAATACTTACATCACTTATTAATTGACAGCACCAAACATTTAAAATTCATTGAAATTATTTACAGTACTAACGCAAATACAATGCTATTGCACTTATAATACTCTTTTCTTTATTTAATTACAATACTAACTCTAATTACAATATTAGGCCCAGTTCAGACGCCGAACTTTTCATGAGCCGAACCAAATACATTGAATTAAGTACATGAAAAGTTCGGCGTCTGAATCTGTTAAGAACGGCTATTTGAATTTGAAACGGCCCAGCCGTTCTTCCCGCCTAGCTCAGCCGGGAATTTCGGCTTTGGAACGGCTTTGATCCAGACGTCGAACTTTTCATGAGCCGAACCTAATGTATAAATTATTATAACGTATTTTACAAGCAGTTTTTACTTTGCCTGAAAATCGCTGACATTTCGATG